TCATCAGAAATGGATGGTGATGGTGAAGATGCTGGAAGCCAGAACACCAGTGACGCTGCGAGTGTGACCGTGGACTCCCCCCCCCCAGTCAAATACCACGCGAACTGGGAAGCGTGGCAGAACTACTTCGTCGACTACTGCCGACGTACGTTATAAGTCATCCCCGTGAAGGAGACAATGTCATGCGCAGAAAGGAACAAGCGTCTAAAGAAGACGAAGAGAGGTGTGGATGAGGATCAGCTGGTCCCAACTGAATTTGACCCGTACCAGCGCACGTACATCTGTACGCACGGCTGGAAAAAGAGAAAGTCGCGCAGTGAGGGCAGCCGCCCACGTCAGCACATCCGGCTGACAAGCTGTCCCTTCCGATTCGTGGTACAGTGGAATTTGGTGCGTGGAGAGCTTCAGGTAAAGAATGGTGTCTGGTTACACAACCACCAAGTCTCGCCCGCGGCTTTCGCGACGTACCCGTCGTCGCGCGGTGTGTTTCACCCGCTGGTAGGTGCGCGTGTTCAGGGTATGCTGGAGGTTGGAGCCAAGCGATCTAGGATTTACGACTACCTCTTAGAGCATACGAGAACGTCGTGCAGGCGGACGTAGACAATCTGGTGCGTGACTATTCTTCATCCATGACAAACGTAGACGACAACGAGGAAACAGCGAGGGAGCTCGCATTGTTTGCCGCAGTCGACCCCGGGAACCTTTCGTCGGTGGCCGATACGGACTGTGGCGAGACAGGAGTGATATCGATTGCAAGTGCACACATGCGGCGTGTGTTTGCGCGTTTCAGCGAGGTGTTGCTAGTTGATTGCAGCCATAAGACGAATCGGTGCGTCTGGGGAATGTGAATTATAATGATCATGGATCTGAACAGGACTGATACATGTTGCTTTCCATGATTATATTATAGATATAACTACCAACTACTGACGTTCGTGGGAATGAACGAGTTTGGCGAGGGTGCAGTAGTTCATCAGTCTCTGATCGAGGCAAATGGAGATTGGCATATGGAGAGAGCCATTGACCATTTCAAACGATTTCACCCTACGCGCATCAACTTGCTCCAAGTGATAGTCGTCGACAAGGATTTGAATGAGATACGGGTGTTGGAGGCAAATTTTCCTGCGGCCCGGATCCTGTTATGTCATTTTCATGTTATTAAGTATCTAAAGGAGATGCGCTCGAAGCCCGAGTTCGGCAAGATCTCATCAGACAACGCACGCAAAATAGACGCTGCAGTGCATAAGATGGTATACGCCTCCAGTGAACACAAATACAAAGAGGCACACGAATCTCTAAAGGGCATTTGCGAAAGATGTGGTATCGATCGTTTCTTCAAGTATTTTGAGAAGAATTGGCACTCATGCACAGACCGTTGGGTGTATTATGCGAGCTACACTCCCCCACTTCAACAATCACACAAACAACAGATTGGAGAGTTACTTTGGCAAGCTGAAAGAAGGAATAGACAGTTCGATGTCTATGGCCAATTGTATCAAGGCGTTGGTAGCATTCGATCGGAGGAAGCAGAACGATTACGAATACAGGTTGACTAGAATTGGTCGATTCAGCAATTCAAACTACGACGAAGAAATGTCGACTGTTCTGCGTTTCACTACGCACTATGCGGCCCGCCAGATAGAGCGGCAATACACACTAGGGTTGGAAAATGCCTCAAGGTACAACTTCGAGAAAGATCCTGAAGAATTGAGCGTCGTCAAAATCGGTGGGATATTCAAAACGCATACTCTTCGAACCGATGACTGGAAATGCAACTGCGAGTTTGCAGCTTCGATGGGTTTGCCATGTCGACATGCTATAGCGTATCGGAAATACACCAACGTCAGCGGGCCTGTGATTCCCTGGACCCGGATCGACGAGAGGTTCGTACTGAGTCATACTGTTCGCGAATTGTATAAAATCCTGGGTGCATACAGGATTCTATATTTCAGCGACATATATTGTCTACTAACGAATCCGGTACGTTTCCATGATTTGTAGATGGACGAACCCGACAATAGAACTCAAGAAAGCCCGGCAGTTTGCGTACGAAAAGTTCGTAGATTCGAGCCACAGATCACTAAAAAAAAAAGGTTCGAACACACTCGGAGAGATACAGGGAGGCTGTTCGCGCAACCCACTTGATTGCCAGTGAAATAGCTGACATTGAAGACGAAGCTGAATTCGAGAGTATGCTGCAGTTTGTTATGAGTCAATGGAGAAACGTCCGGCAGAAAAAAATTGCGGAGTATATCGAAGGAGACTTGAAAGAGGCTCTGAAAACGGAAGACCGGCATGCTTTTTCTGATGCTGATGTAAAACGGGAGTTTGAAATTAGCAGTAGTGATAATGAAGAATGTTGTACTGGGGACGCTGCGAACTCTGATGCGATCACAGAGAAGAATCCACCTGTCTCGTTAGTGTCTATACGTCTCAACCCAAAGGCGCGGAAGGTTGGGGCCCCCAAAAAAGCCAAAAAGAAGATAGTGGCCGGTGAACGTGCTGAAAGGAAGTGGTATGAAGCAGCCGAGGAAGGCCGCAAGAAAGCTGGGGAAGTGACATTACTTGCGGTGGTGAACTCGTTAGATCACGTCCAGCCTGGGCTTCGTGAGGTGCAGAGACGTTTATCGGGTATCATCGTGAAGTATGGGGACGCAGAGTCGAGAAAGCCCAAACTGCACATGATGAAAAATCCTGTATTGATACAGGATCCGTTCTATCTACTTCCTACGAAGCTGTTGGAGGCGTGCATAAAGATACTTCCCGTGTCCAATTCGAAGGAAGATGCCATCACAATTGACACATCACAGACTAGCCAACCAACTGAGGAGAAGACGGGAAAACTTGTTGAAACTATTGTCATCAAGGACGTTGGGAGTTTTTCAAGGAAACAGATAGAAACGTTCAGGCGCGTGGACAATTTGAAACGAATCGTACAGGCAGGCTTGGAAATGCATAAGTGGCTTCTCGAAGTCGCAGTTCCCTCTCTACCAGCTGCTTACCACGGAATTGGAGCTCAAGTTGCAGACGATGTGTTAATGTCGTGCCCGCTAAAACGGATCCAAGGCCTCCCGGCTCTTGCGGACTATACATACGCGATGCTCTACAGCGCGAGCCCACCCACATGGATCTCAGACGCAGCATTACATGCCTTGTGCTTGCGGCTCACTTAAGATTACTCAACGGTCCGATTCGCTGGATTTCAATCAGCTGTAGCGAAACAACGACGTTCGCGAAAGACAGATTAATCTCCTGTGGCCGAACCTATCCGGCATCGACTTCTACAGCAAGTGAAGGAGGACGGAGTAGACACGGTGTTGCTCCCGCTCAACTTTGATAACTTCCACTGGTGCTGCGTGGTCGTTAAGGCCAACGCTAAGCGTATCTATTACTACGATCCGCTAAACCACGCTTCCTACAAGAACGCTTGTAACGCAGTGGGAACTCATCTCAAGATCTTAGGCCTGCTAGATTACGACGTGATTGCCATGAATAATCCTATCCAGTTTGATGAACACAGCTGTGGAGTGTTTGTCGGCTGGATGTTCATCTGTCAGGTGCAAACGGGCCGCCACCTGGAAATCAACAGTTGACCAGACGCCGCATTGAATTTTTTTTTTTACTATTTGCTATCTGGATATCTTCTTCCTGTGGGGAGGCCATTTCACATGACACTATGGAAGATGACGACAAGGAGGAGAAAACCCCTGCCCCAAGAAACACCGGAGACGACGACGCAGGGGACGAAGTGCAGCATACGCAGAGAGCTGCACGAATTGAAGACGCAGAGGACGAAGTTTCACCTACGCAGAGAGCTGCAGGAGTTGACGACGCCAAGAGCGAGGTTCTACCGACACAACCTGCGCAGTGAAGAGCCGTATGAAAAGAAAGTAATAGGCTACGTAGGTCTAACTTCAACGAATACATATTTCATCATCAGACACCTACCGTCACCATATTTTCGTGTACTGCAGCAATGTAGCGATCGATGCTTCGAGTTACAAAGTATTAATCCTGGACTAGATGATGGACGGTTACAGGATTAATCCTGTACATTGATGCAAAGATTACGACACATTTTATGAATCCAGGATTCATTCCTGTAAACGTACACTATTAATCCTGGATTACGCACAGTCACACATTCCGTATCTTCGAATCTTCCCGTATCTTCCCAATATGATCATCACTTAAGTACGAATTTCATGTCCAGGATTAATCCTGGCCTCAGTCGTGTACACACCCATGTAAATAATCCTGGCCTCCAACAGCCGCCATTAAAATAAGTGTAATTGAGGGACATTTTGAAACAGGCTAAAACTTGAGGGGACAAGAAATATGAAACGGAGTATTAGAGCGCACTGTGTACACTACAAGGCCAGATGATCGTGTGTAATGCTAGAGTTTTCTTCATAATCAGCCACTGGGGCGATTAGTTTCTATTTTTTCTAAATTAAAATTTAATTTTATGTTTCAAGTATGAGAATCGTGTCTGGGCCAAATCTCTATGCGAATGAAAAAGTAGCGAACACATGCATTTGCATGTTTCTTGGAAAGAGCGGACTACACAATTGCTGAGGTAACAGATTATATTACGTTTAATTTTAAGTACGATTGAAGTAAGACCATCTCCACCCGTAGTTGAGTAAAAGTAAACGTAAATCCTTTCTGGACCAAAAATATGAAACCCCGCAGGAGAGCTTTGCTCGTACGCATACGCAAAACCGGAAAGTACGGGGTTTTGCGCAAGTTTGGTCTGAGCCGTGTACTTTTCGGGTCGTGCTACCTGATACGACCGGAGAGCCTGTAACCCCACCAAGTAGATTGTACCCATCACCAAATATTCCGTAGACAGCACCCACCAATCATCTGTGTACTTTTACCAGCTACATTTATCACAAATCTGGCGCTTCATTTCGCCAAAGTGCATCTCAAGCAGAGCAGCAAATTGGCAATTTCAAATTGGAGTCAATTGCCTGCACCATGGTTTCTTTTCCGGCGTACATTCGTTTTCGCTTGGTGGCTTCACTTTCTTTCGTTGTTGCGACTCGGACGAAGAGCGCCATTTACGGTTTTGCTGAGTTCCTCCCAAGCGACAACAGGAAAAGAGTCCGCCATCACGGTGGGTTTGATTTTTTTTCTAACCTGTTGGTGCAGCAGCACGCTGCAAGTGAAACCACGATGCAAAATCAAGAGCAACGAGACGACGAGAATTTCAGTGACACATTGTCGGGAGACGATAATTTCACTTGGACCGAGATATGGACAACGGAAGCGGGTGCGACGAAGAGAGATGGATTCCTGGCGACGCTTCTTTGCTTCGTGCGCACGAAGAAAAACTTAGTGTCGTGTACGCTGGATATCTAGCTACAGAGCAGTTCAGCTTGGCGCTTTCCCGACACAATACGCGCTCGATGTTGAAGGTCTGTTGCTCAGAGCGCTGTGTCGACAACGCTGATGGAAACGCTTGTTGGTGCCGTTACAAGGTTAACTCGTGCAAAAACAGCGGTACCGTAGCAGTTTCAAGCAAGGTAATCACATCATGCGGGACCTAAACGCCTTGACACCTCAACGACCCGAGCTCACGGATGGTACGAATGCGTTCATTCGGCACCAACTTGCTGAGGTTCCCGCGACAGTCCCATACCGTATTTACAGCGTCATCGTGTCCAAGGTTGACAATGAAGAACTACCTGGGCCTGCACCCTATCGTCGCAAAGTGGACAATTACGTTCGCTTTTGGAGAAGAACAAACCCCACCGACGAGATGGCACGCGTCATTGACATGTGTGACCAACTTTTGTACGATGAGGTTGGAATGCACCCAGAAGTGCCAACAAATTTAGTGATTCTGTGCGATACCAATATTGCAGGTTGCCTCTGTAGGATGCGGAAGTGATGTAGCACCATTTCGTGTCGGCATCACGTGTTACAAGCTCTTCCAAGATTATGTTAATGTGCAACGGGCTGTCGACCAAACGACGATCTTACACATCGACAGCACGTTCAAGATTGTGAATCAATGCTACCCAGCAATGGTTAAAAGCTACTCCGACAAAGGCGGTCATTTTTTCCGCTCGCATACTTCTGCATCTCCAGAGGACGCGAAGAAGACATTTCGTGGTGCCTGGAGTTCATCAAAAGGGTCTGCTTTTAACAATTCCGCTTGGATTTCGCTCCAGAGTTTGTTATGTCCGACACCGACAAGGCACAGTGGAACGCAAGCCTTGCTGAGTTTCCCACGTCCAAGGTGTTGATGTGCTGGTTCCACGTTTGCCAGAATGTGTTCAAGCAAGCTAGGGCCAAGGGTGTTGACCCCGACCAGACTTGGGAGTTTTTCGTGGACTTGTACGATTTACTCTACTCCGATGAACGCGACTATGAGACGAACAAGCAAGCCATTCTCGCAAATGGGATGCGATGCCACGCGACTCAGCAGCGTTCGCTTTGGCTCGTCATATTAAGGCGATGTGAGTCAACCGCTTTGAGTTCGGAAATTAGCAAGTGTTCCATACACCTACGGGTTGTGCGGTGACTAACAACCCGATCGAGCAATACCACAAGACGCTGAAGATCAACTGTGTGAATCGTCGAGCTACATCGTTGGAGATGATGCAGTCCATGGAGCGACCTCAGCTAGCTTTCATATGTGAAATCGCGTCTTCAGTGACAACCCGAAGGTTTCTACGCGCTTGTACAAATTATACAAGACACTAGCTTATCAGCGTTGTATTTCATCTACGCAGCTTCCATTGGGGCGTACGAAGACCGAGATTCGTTTTACCGTTAATCACAAGCATCTTCCTCAGCGCTGAGGATAGAAAGGAGCGGTTGAAATCGGTGGGTTCCGTGAATTCTCGAAGGATGCAAACACTTGGTATGCCATCCGATGGGTGGGTAGTGAGTCCCGGACAATTGAAGTACAATTGCCTCTACTGGTGGAAACATGGGATGTGCCCACACGTCATTGATGCCTGTGCTGCGGCTGGTATGCAGTCTTCTGGTATCGTGTCAAGGCCCCGACGGTTTGTGACGAACGCTCGTCGTCAGCCC